AGCAACGGCTCTTTTCAGACCGCCAAAGGGACTTGGCTGACTGGGGTTTCAATATTTTCTTAATCCCCATCGTATTTATTTTCTAACATTACAACATTTTCTTAGGGTCACCAGGGTGAGGACTAATTAAGTCCGGGGTCTGGGATGTCTGGTGCCCTCAAATATCCCGAAATTTCACGTCTAAGTTTCACCTACCAGGTAAACTCTCTCTCCATTTATAAAATCAGCTTTGTAGGGAGAGAAGCCAAATGCATGCCTTTCCCCAGATCCTACAGCTCCTATTGCAGGGCTAATGCTTGTTCCTTAAATAGTCATCATTCCAAGAGTATTTTGATGTTGGGCGGAAGCCTGATCACCCCAGCTCTTTACACCTCTAACCTTTCTAGGCCAGGAGCAATGGAAAATACCTGCAACATTCTGCAAAGACAGGCGTGGCAAATCATTGCTCAGTAGAGGACAGCAGCTTGAGGTCATAACCTTATGAGTTTCCCCGTGACTACCAGCAGAAGCCAGTGGTGTCGCATGGAGATGGGACAAGTCACATTGTGAGGACATCCCAACAAGTGGTCCTCAACTTTGCGGAACAGAGTGGCAAACACAATGTAGGGGTGCTATTTTCAGCCCTGTCCCCATGGCATGCCTCCTGCATACTTCTGGCTAGGACTCACAAATTTGATAGTATATGCAATGAATTTCTAACTTCTAGGAAATGTTTGCATTTGGGCAGTGATATGACCACGATAGCAATCTATGACCGCAAAATGTGTTTTTCAGCTAGAGGGATTGGAGAAATGTACATATAAGATAACTGTCTGATACTGAGTCAGACCCTCTTAGATCAATACTGTCTGCACTGATTGGCAGCAGCCCCCTGGGGTTTCAGACAGGGACCATTTCCCATTCTCATCTGGAGATGCCATGGGCCTTTAGTGTGCCAGACACGAACTCTGCCACTGAGCCAATGGTGGAGCTTTCATTTTTTAAAAAATTCCAAAATAAATAAATAAAAAGTGATGGGACACACTACTAAATAGCATACAGGTGACTTGATCGTTTTATTTATGACTTGCTTCCATACTATGAACCACATATCCAAACCTCTTTCTAAAACAAAATTGCGAAAACCCAACACAGATTGCTATTCGTTAGCATGCAAGAACCAAAGATCATGCTGAGACAAACCAGTTGTTCAAAGGACTTTTGACAGTTTTGGCATGTGAAGCATAGAAAACGGTGAATCTGTCGATTTCAGTTTCTCTTTGTTTCTTATTCTTCCAGTCTTCCAGTCTTAGGAAGGATACATATTTTTGTATCAGTTTGCAATTTTTTTAATATAATGACAATCTTCATGAGAATTTGTCTGCATTTCAGTGTATTTTTCTCTACATTACATTTTTTTCTGAAATTTTTGTAAGCAATTTTGCCTGTATACATTTTTTTACAAGCCAATTCCACTAATATACTGCATTTTCCCATGTTATTTTCATTATGCACCAGATGCTGATCAAAGCAATAAGAAATGTGAAGCGTAGAAAACAGTGAATCTGTTGGTTTCAGTTTCTCTTTGTTTCTTATTCTTCCAGTCTTCCAGTCTCAGGTTCTCCATATTTCTGTATCAGTTTTCAAAAAAAAAATTAATACAAAGACAATCTTCATGAGAATTTGTCTGCATTTCAGTGTATTTTTCTCTACATTACATTTTTTCCTCAAATTTTTGTATGCAATTTTGCCTGTATACATATTTTTACAAGCCAATTCCACTAATATACTGCATATTTCAATGTTATTTTCAATATGCACCAGCTGCTGATCAAAGCAATAAGAAATCAGTTGACGTACATCTTTGTGTGTGCAAATGTGTGTGTCGCAACTGACCAGTTAATTTCTTACAGCTCAGTCCTAAGTATGATTATTCAGAAGTAAATTGCTCTAGAAGCTCAAGGGGAGTTCCCCTGTAATCAATGTGTTTCACAGGTGCTACCTGAGCTGCTTTTTGTTCTTCTGCAATGCAAACAGGGAACCTGTAGCCCCCCAGACATTGTTAGATTCCAGTTCCCATCAACCCAGGGAACACAGCTAATGGACAGATAATGGGTCAGCTATATCAGAAGGCTTAGAGGCTCCCCATTCCTGCACATGTTTGGGATCTTTTGGAGTTTCCCCTCCTCTCAAAATTAATTTGACAGACCCAACCATTTTTTGTGGACTGTGGTTGGTTGGTTCCATACCTTTCTCCTGATGTTGCTTTGAAATACTAAAAGGTAAGGCTGGATGAGGGGACGCGGGTGGCACTGTGGGTTAAACCACAGAGCCTAGGACTTGCTGATCAGAAGGTCAGTGGTTTGAATCCCCGCGACGGGGTGAGCTCCCGTTGCTCGGTCCCTGCTCCTGCCAACCTAGCAGTTCAAAAGCACGTCAAAGTGCAAGTAGATAAACAGGTACCACTCCGGCGGGAAGGTAAATGGCGTTTCCATGCGCAGCTCTGGTTCACCAGAAGCGGCTTAGTCATGCTGGCCACATGACCAGGAAGCTGTACGCTGGCTCCCTCGGCCAATAAAGCGAGATGAGCGCCACAACCCCAGAGTCGGTCACGACTGGAACTAATGGTCATGGATCCCTTTACCTTTACCTTTACCTTTACCTTTAAGGCAGGATGAGAGACTTCTCCATGATTCGGGTTTTTTCTTTTCTTCGTGGGGTGAGGGGAATAGTTGGATATTTTTTAGGTTCTTTGAGTTTCTGAAAAAGCTTGCCTGTTTTGCAAGAGCTCTCTCCTGGTGGGTCACGCTGCTGGATGCACTCTTGCTAGTGGTGCTGAATGAATTGTCGTATTGACACTGGCGATTTCAGTTTGGTTCCACCTGCCATGGCACTGCTCCACAGCATCAGCCATAGCAGAGAGACATTTGCACAGTCAGCAGTCCCTCCCCTTCTCAAAGAAGAATTGCAACGAGAGAGGGCTTTAGACAGGGAAGTAGTACAACCACCCCGAAGCCAATTGCCCCAGGGCAAAAATGAAACAGGCAATCCAGTGCTGTTACCTATGCAAAGATATGTGCAAGAGATTCTAGCTGGTAAACAGGTGCTAGTTAGCAGAGGCTGGGGAAGAAAAAATAGCTGGATCAGGCTGTGTATCTAATCTGAGAATGGAATTTTCCATAGCTGTCAAGTTCAGACACAAGGCCAGGTCTAACCAACTGAAGCCATACATTAAAAAAAAAACACAAAAAACACAGTTGTTTACTTTTGCACAGCCTGTCTTTGCAATGGCTGGCAATACACGGTTGGGCAATCGGCTCGTTGCCTTATTGTTCAGCTTTGAAAACAGAGCTGTTTCTTTCCTCTTTGAATGTTTGCGATATGGGTCACGGCCGTGCCTCTAACTTGTCTGTGCCTGGGAGGTCAAGGCAGGGAGTGTTTTGCCTGAACACAATACCTGTTACTGTGCTCACAGTTATTAAACTGGCTGGCTTGATAAACATCAATGGGAATGTTTAACTGCACAGATTATTAGAGGGAGAGAAAGGGAGAGACTGAGAAGAGAGAGAGAGAGAGAGAGAGAGAGAGAGAGAGAGAGAGAGAAACTAGGCCAGCTATCTACCATAAAGGCAGCTTGCTGAACTGATCGAAAGACCATAAACGAATAAATGGTGCTTTTCTATCATTCTATCAGATGTTGCTAGACTGTAGAGAAGTGTTGAAGTCTACTGAGTGCCACAACCCATGTGCTAGCAGCAGATTCTGGTGTGGTGGCTCTCTGCCGAATGTTTAGTACCAAATAAACTCCATTTGCAATTCTCTGGACCCCGTTTTGGTCTCTCCCCCTCCCTTACTCATACACTCACACCATAAATGTTTGTGCTGGTAGCAATTACGTCATCTACAATTCATTTCAAAACCACCTCCAGGAAGACAAACGAGGGTTTGAAGAGTGCAGATGGGAAGGGAGAGATGAAGAATAGCTGTGGAGATGCCTGTTCGCGGGAGAATAAATATACAATTTTTGATAATTAAATACATTTTAATCCTTTTCAGTGTTGCAGAATTACAGGAGGGATGACTCACCCACACAGGCTGTCATCGTCTCTCTCCCTCTGTTCAGCCTAGCAAGTAACAGGATGATTAGCCTGTTAATAATTATAAACTTCTTGTCTTCTGGGTTCACTTCACTTTGCCATAACGCGAGGACGTCTTTTGAAAAGCCAGCGCTGACATACTGAAATGTTTAAGACACCAGAGTGTGACATGTGTTGTTGTCTGAGATCCATCTTGCTCATGGTAGGAGGGAACAGGACTATTTGTTCCAGTTGTTATAAATATTTATTACACAAAGACGGGGCCATGCTTGCCACCACCGGTGGAAGTGTGAAAAATAAGGCACATCGCAGCAGCGTTTGCCCAAATGCCTCAACTTCTATGCACAGAGCATAGTTAAACTATAGAACTTGCTCCCACAGGAGGCAGTGATGGCCACAAAGCTAGACAGCTTTAAAGGGGGATTAGACAAATTCATGGACAAGAGGGCTGCCAGTGGCTACTAGCTATGACAGCTATGCTCTAGAGTCAAAGGCAAGAATGATTCTGAACACCAGTTGCTGGAAACCACAGGAGGGGAGAGTGCTCTTGTGCTCGCATCCTGCTTCTATGTTTCCCACAGGCATCTGGTTGGCGACTGTGAGAACAGGATGCTGGAGTATACAATCATAGAATTGTAGAGTTGAGAAGGACCTTGTCCAACCCCCTGCAATGCAGGAATCTCAACTAAAGCATCCGTGGCAGGTGCCCATACAAGCTCTGCTTCAAAACCTCCAATGAAGGTCTAGATGGGCCATTGGCTTGATCCAGCAGGAACTTTTCATGTTCAATGAAAATGACTTTCATGGACACCCCAGAAGGAACACTGCAGCAGTGTTGGACTTGACAATTGCACCACACCTCTCTATACTGCCTGCAGTGTTGATTGTGCAGGTAAACAATGCATTCCTTGTAGGCATTCAAAGGGAGAAGAATCTTAGCTCAGTGGCAGAGCATCCGCTTTTCGTGCAGAACATCCCAGGTTCAATCCCCATCATTTCCAGGTAATCCTGGGACTGCCCCCTGTCTGAACTTGATGGGCCAATGGTTTGGCTCAGTACAAGGTAGCATCCGATGGTCCCATATTGCAAAGTGAAGCCACCAAATTTGCAGTTCATCAAGAGATTCAGTGCTATGACCTGTAGACTGAATTGGGACGGAAGGTTATTCAAATAATAATAATAAAAACTGTGCCACATTGCATCTTTCAATTGGCTTCTTGATGCCAGGGATGCCTGTGTTACCACCAATAACCACACTGGAATATACGTATATATGTGCAACACTCCTATAGTACCGAGTACAAGCAGATGTGATCTGTATAAACACAGTGGGACGCATTTCAAGTGCCATGCTGAATCTGCTGCTTGCTTAGGACTTAGTCTGGGACTTTCATGCTTCCTTTTCACTCTGTGGTTCAATACACTGACATATTATATCCTGACATTTTAAAAAAAGCATCTGTTTCAGCATGTTAAGGTAACTCTGTCTGGCTCCACCTTTGTTTGGTCAGGTGTCGGCTCACCAAATTGAATTAAAGCCTCTATTCATTGTGCCACTGCTTTTTGACATGGTTAGCACCTCGCTTAGATGTTTCGCACAACCTCCCGTAATCCCACTGAAAACAACCCTCCCCCTGAGCCCGTTTCATAAATCCCTTTGTGCGCTATTGTCCTCTTTCTGCAAAAGACCTTCCTTTTGTGAGAACCAGCATTTCGACGTTTTTCGGTGTCAACCAGGCCAGGCAAAAGGTTGGGTTAATATTGCAGGAAAGGTTCCAGTGTTTTCCCATTAGATCTCCCTTGTACCATTGCCTAGTTACCTTTCCCCTTCCTCTCCTCTCCTTTCACTGTGTTCTGGAAGGTCTCTCAAAACACTGGAGCTGATTGGTGCAAAGTGGGTGCTAAAGGGGAGAGGGCGAGTTTTGTTGCACAAGCAGAAGTCTGTTAAGAAAATGGATGAGCAAATCAGCTGTCCAGTGTCTGTATCTTGCTCTTCTCTCAGGCCAGGTCTGCTCTAGCTTTAAGAATTGTATGGAAGAGGAAAAGCTGGCAGGCGAAGCCTGACTACTCAAGGAAGTAAAAAGCAGCACTTCTATTAAAGGCAGAATTGAGAACCAGTGTGGTATTATTATTATTATTTATTGCATCCTACCTCCCCCCCCCCCCCCACTGCCAGAACTCAATGTGGTGTATATGGTTTTCTCTCCCCTTCACGTTTAATTTCCCAAACAAGCCTGTGAGGTAGGCTGAGAGGCAGAGAGTGGCCACCCAGTGAGTTTCATGGTTGAGTGCGGATTTGAACCCTGGCCTCCCAGGCCACTCTGACCATTACGCCACACTGGCTCTCATTGTTGGGAGTGTCAGAATAGGACCGAGGAGAGATGCAATCAGGACCTCCCTCAGCAGTGATCACTGGCCAGTCATTGCATCTTGGCCTAACCTATCTCACAGAGCTGTTGTCAGAAGTGGCTCACCAGGTGGGTCAGAACTACTACAACAGCTTCCCGGCAGGTGGGGATCACCACTTTTGCTTCTAGCCATGTCCATTACTGGTGTGTGGCCTCTGGAAGGTTCCTGAAGGGAATGTGGTTCTCAGACTGAAAAAAAGAGTCTCATCCCTGCATTATAGAGCTTGTTTCTGAGGCTTTGCTTAGAGCTAATCTGTGTCTCTTCTACAACTTTAAGCAGCAGACAAGGGAATGAGGCGATGCTAGGAAAATGAATAAGGTGCATGTTATACCCTAACAGGTCCATCCTGTCCCCTGCCCTTGAAGGCAGTTTGTCTGGCCCGGGGTTTACCAATCATGCCTTAGCAGCCTCAAGAAGAGAGCCTGTGGGCAACAATGGAGGCTATTGAGGCCAAGCTTTCCTGTAAGCTTTTTGGGCTAAATCAGATGGTACCTCTCTGTGATCCATCCCACACCTTACATGTCTGATGTAGGAAGAGTTTGCTAGACCAAGCTAATGGCTCATCAAGGCCAGCATCTCGTTCTCACAGTGGCCAACCAGATGCCCATGTGAAACGCACCAGCAGGACCTGAATGCAAGAGCACTCTTCTCGCTTGTGATTCCCTGCAAATGATATTCAGAGGCATACAGTGGAGGTAGAACATAGCCATCAGCTGGCATACCTTCCAACCTTTCTCCAATGAAAATAGGGACATGTTAAGGAAAAGCGGGACATTCTGGGATCAAATCAGATACCAGAACAGCTTCTGTAAATCTGGGCCTGTCCCTGAAAAAAAGGGACACTTGGAGGATCTGAGCTAGTAACCCCTGATAGCCTATCTAGCTTTTGTTGTCATCATCGTCTTCCAGTAAGAGCTGTAGGCAATCCTGCTCCACACTAGAACTGGGTACTGGAGTACAGCATGGCAGACTTTGATAAATGTATTAAAAAAAATCCTTCCGGTAGCATCTTAGAGACCAACTAAGTTTGTTCTTGGTATGAGCTTTCGTGTGCATGCACACTTCTTCAGATACACTGAAACAGAAGTCACCAGGCCCTTATATATAGTGAGAGGGTGGGGAGGGGTGATTGGCTGATAGGTGTGGTAAACCAGTTGATGACTGTTAATGACTGCAATTCGTCTTACAGGAAAAAGCAAGGGATGAGATGGCCAAAAATAGCTTTATCATGTATAATGAGATAAGAATCCAACGTCCCTATTCAGACCAGGTCTCTCCATTCCCACCACCCTTCTAAGTAAAATCCCTCCTCACTATATATAAGGGTCTGGTGACTTCTGTTTCAGTGTATCTGAAGAAGTGTGCATGCACACAAAAGCTCATACCAAGAACAAACTTAGTTGGTCTCTAAGGTGCTACTGGATGGATTTCTTTTTTTAATTTTGTTTCAACTACAGCAGACCAACACGGCTACCTACCTGTAACTTTGATAAATGTAGTCTTGCTTGGTTTATGTGGCCACTCAAGTTGGTCCTTCTCAGCACCAAGTGCGGCCAGAGACACTTAATGTCATTGACCTCAGTTAATAATTACACTTATGGTCCCTTTGATCATTCACAGATACACAGGGTCTGTTTCATGGCTTCATAAATATTTACCAGAGTCATGAGGCTCTTTGTTTTGCTATCTGCCCTGCCCACGCTCATTGTTGCTAAGTATCAGCTTGAAGCGAGTAAGTGCCCATCTAATTGATCTATGCATGAAAGGAAGTGGCCTAGTTCATAAAAAAGATTGTTGTCTTTACATTCAGAGTCACTTTGCCACTCTTATTTCTTTTGTTTATTGAGTTGCTGGGAAATGGTGGGAAATGAGATATGCAAGCAGTCTTGCTCTGGACTTCTTGATACACTGGTGAAATGCATTGTTCTATGCGCAGGGAATTAGTTTAGGTCACACCTGCACAACGTGCGCCCACCAAGCTGAATACTGCCTGTCAGCAGATCATGGATTCAGGTAGGTAGCCGTGTTGGTCTGATGCAGTCAAAATAAATTAAAAATTAAAAAAATTGTCCAGTAGCACCTTAGAGACCAACTACCGGTAAGTTTGTTCTGGGTATAAGCTTTCGTGTGCATGCACACTTCTTCAGATACACTGAAACAGAAGTCACCCCACCCTCCCACTATATACAGTGGTACCTTGGGTTACATATGCTTCAGGTTACATACGCTTCAGGTTACAGACTCCGCTAACCCAGAAATAGTACCTCGGGTTAAGAACTTTGCTTCAGGATGAGAACAGAAATCATGTTCTGGCGGCGCAGCGGCAGCGGGAGGCCCCATTAGCTAAAGTGGTGCTTCAGGTTAAGAACAGTTTCAGGTTAAGAACGTACCTCCAGAACGAATTAAGTACATAACCAGAGGTACCACTGTATAAGGGTCTGGTCAGGTGACATCTGTTTCAGTGTATCTGAAGAAGTGTGCATGCACATGAAAGCTTATACCCAGAACAAACCTAGCTGGTCTCTAAGGTGCTACTTAGAAAGGGACGCGGGTGGCGCTGTGGGTAAAACCTCAGCGCCTAGGACTTGCCAATCGCATGGTCGGCGGTTCGAATCCCCGCGGCGGGGTGCGCTCCCGTCGTTCGGTCCCAGCGCCTGCCAACCTAGCAGTTCGAAAGCACCTCCGGGTGCAAGTAGATAAATAGGGACCGCTTACCAGCGGGAAGGTAAACGGCATTCCGTGTGCTGCGCTGGCTCACCACATGCAGCTTGTCACGCTGGCCATGTGACCCGGAAGTGTCTGTGGACAGCGCTGGCTCCCGGCCTATAGAGTGAGATGAGCGCACAACCCTAGAGTCTGGCAAGACTGGCCCGAATGGGCAGGGGTACCTTTACCTTTACCTTTAAGGTGCTACTGGACAATTTTTTTATTTTTTTATTTATTTTGTCAGCAGATCAATAAGCCATGGGTATGGTCAAGAACTTTGCAGCTGACAGGACATGGCTTTTGCCTAAGGTTTGACGGGGTTTGCCAGCCTGTTTTAGGTCCATTGGTCGATTTCACTTGGGTATAATTTGCAAGAGCACTGCCATGCTTTTGTGCTGCTCCCATTCATTTCAACGGCTAAAGGAGTGGGATCATATCTCAGTGATAGAACATAAGCCCAACATTATTGAGTTGTTCCTGTTTTAATTATTTATTTTGTGTTTTTATATTGTGATTTTATGTTGTGTATAGGGCGGTGTACAAACTATCACCATCATCCTCTTAAAAAATTACATAATAGGGATTTGGGGACAATTCAATTAGATTCACAACTGAATTTGAACCAACCTAATCATGAAATAATACAAAAACAGGAACACAACTCTCCTTTGAGAGAAATGTGCATGTTAGAAGAAAGTGTGTATTAAAATGTACAGTGAAAAATTAAGTCAGCATCTTGTTCTCATAATGGCTAACCAGATGCCTATGGGAAGCCCACCAACGGGGCATGAGCACAACAGCAGTCTTGAGACATACACAAATATACAAATATCTACCACGTCATCCCTAACCGTGAGCTCTCAAAGAACTGAAAAAGTGAAAGAAT